ACTCAGTTATAGCCAAAAATTGCTGCATTTGTAAGATATCATATATAATTAGTAACAATAGATATTTATAATATGAAAGGGATGGTACCACTGTATTTCTTGAAGTCAAAATTAATATATTCAGAAATGTCATAAAAACTGTTGGCTTTTAGTAAATTAATCAAAACGTTGTGTAATTTATGATTGCTTAGTTGACGTACTTGGTAGACTTCTACGAGCCGGAACATGAATTTTGTCATGAAAATGTGGAAGAAAATTTCGTCACAATTTATTTTATATATGATAAGGCAGGACACAAAGGTCCAATTTGACTTTGACCAATTATTTTGAGAAAACCAAACCAATTATATTACAACAAATAACACATATCAAACGAACAACTATCTGACTATGTTTAATAAAACTAAATCCCCAACTAATTCATCTTTGTAGACATCTGTTTTTTGCTGTTTTTCAAACATTTGTAACCTGGTCCTTTTTGCCCCATAGACTGGGTAAATTGCGTAGGGTAGGGCGGGACACAAAGGTCCAAATTCACTTTGATCAATCATTTCGAGACAGCCAAACCAATTATATCACAACAAATAATACATATCAAACAAACAACTATTTGACTATGTTCAATAAAACAATTTCTCCAGCTATTTTTACCACTGTAGAAATGTGTGTTTTTTGCTGTTTTTCAAACATTTGTAACCTGGTCTTTTTTACCCCGTAGACGGGGGAAATTGCGTAGGGTAGGGCAGAACACAAAGGTCCAAATTCACTTTGATCAATATAACACATATCTAACAAACAACTATCTTGCAATGTTCAATAAAACTATTTCCCCAGCTAATTCATCACTGTAAACATATGTTTTTCTGCTGTTTTTCATACATGTGTAACCTGGTCCTTTTTACCCCATAGGCGGGGTAAATTGGTATGGTCAGGGGGTTTAATGTCTTATTTTAATTTTAAAGGAATTTTACAAAATAATAGCTACATTATTCAACCAATGCAAAATATAAATTTTATGGGTGCATTTTTTTTCAGAGATTACACTGTATATTACCTTGATCTGGTATTTCCTCAGAAATATTCAGCAACAGAGTTGTAATAACTATTAATTTAATTTATCTCTTGTAAAGTGCTTTCTTTAACTTAAATTGCTTTTTTTACTAAATTCTTATTGTTTACACCTTTGCCTGTGTAAAGATTAATTGGTCCTTACTTACATATAAGCTTTTATAGAGGTTATAAAAAAAAACTGTTGAATCTAACTTAAAAATACAAAATATATCCTATACATTATACATTAAATAATGTATTATATTTAAAAATTGTATTCAGGTATCATAAACATAATAAAAGCTAAAAACAAAAAAAACTACCAACGAAAAAAAAAAACTTTTGGTATGAATTGATGGTAACTCACACAGTTGGCGATGGCTATCTCTTTGCGATGAATTTTATTATTACAATCATTTTTTTGTTGATGCATCAATGCCGGGTATGGACTATTATTTTCACTTGGAACCATATTCGTATCTATATCTCCAAGTGAAAACCGATGTCACTACTGACATATATAAAGCTGAAATATTACACGACGATTTTTCACAAATGATACCAATCATTGTCTACTTACAAATATGCCAAGTTCTGCCAAGTTTTGCCAACAATTTAATGCTTTCAACTTTCGCTAATGAAATTCGCCATTAGCAACTTCATTTTATTACAGTCGTTTAGTAAGTCGTTAGTAAAATGTAAAATAATAATTGCAATGTAAGTGTTACTTAAATTTTATATAGACACTATTAAAAATATTGTTAATTTTATTCCAAGTTGATGTCGTAAGACATTATATGTTAACGAGAAATGTGTGGACGTTTCAATTTTTTTATTATTTATGCTGACGTGTAAATCGGTATATTTTGCATATTGATGGATTTGTTTTTGGAATTGGCAAATTTTGTAAATTAGTAATGGATATTATTATATATATATTGGGTAGGGTAGGTCGGGGCATAAAGGTCCAATTTGACTTTGAGCAATTATATTGTGAAAACCAAACCAATTAAATCACAACAAATGACACATATGAAACAAACAACTATCTGACTATGTTCAGTAAAATTCTCAGCTAATTCATCATTGTAGAAATGTGTTTCTTTCGCTGTTTTTTTTTTAAATTTGACACCTGATCTTTTTTACCCCATAGCCGGGTAAATTGGAGCGGCCAGGAGACAATCAGTCCAATATCTTCTTTTACTTTTAAAGGGATTTCACAAAATGATACATCATTCAACCAATGCAAAATATAAATTTCATGAGTACATTTTTGGCAAAGATAACACTGTAAATAACCTTGATCTGATATTTACTAAGAAATTTTAAGATTTAATCTATCTCTTGTAATATAGCTTTTTTAACTTAATTTTTCATTTGCTATTTTTTATTTTTTACACCTTTGCTAGGGTAAAGATTTAATTGGTCGTTTTTACCCCACCCAGGTGTAAGCTTTTATAGAGGTCATATAAAAAAACTTTTGAATCTGACTTAAAATTAACAATATATATCATAAAACAATTAAATAATGTATACTTAAAAATTATATTAAGGTCTCGTGAACTAAGCAACAGTGCTCACTACCAAAAAAACTAACAACAAAAGAAAATACTTTTGTCATGGATTTTCAAACAGTAAAAAGGTGAGGTCTCGTTATACGTCTTTTTTCCCTCTACTTGTTGTAGATAAAAATTTCTAACTTTACTTGTTTTTGAGATATCGGTGGTGGGATTTTTTACCCGCGGACCTTTAAGGCACGCTCTACCCTTTGACACACCCTTCAGATTTTAATACATTAAATAAAATATGGTCACTATTTAACACTTAAAATTCTAGGAAGAATTATTGGATTTTTTTCTTTGCTAGTCACTTATAGAAATCTTTATGCAGTTTCTGAGTGATACCTAATTAAATAAACTAGTAGGGTGCATGGCATCGTGCCTTAAGGCAAATTTCTGAAATTTCCCGTAATTAAAAATCTTGGTACGGAACTCAAAAAAAATTCCACAAAATGTGTACACATTATTTAAATCTCCATATATCTGATAATTTGATGTACATATGTCCAATAAACATTTGATTTAAATTTACCGCCAAATGACATTTTTATAACTTATTTTTATTGAGAGTCCATAACCGTTGGACCTGTCTTCCTAAAAATTTAATCAGTTTTTTATCTTGTCAATACAAGTAAAATGTTTTTAGAATTATTAAAATCGGACGCTCCGTTCTCTTAAAATCTGAGTTATCGTTTTTTAGCACTTTTTGCCCCGTATCTTTGAAACGGTTAGACCTGCCTTCGCCAAAAACTAATCAGCATGTCTCCTTATCAATACGAATCAAATGTTTTTTGAATTATTCAAATTGGTTGGTCGGTGTTCCCGAAATCGTCGACGAAAATTTGTATCCACACACACACATACACGCACATATACACATACATCCATTTTTTTCTAAGGTATGCCAAAATGTTCAGAAGGTTTTGAAACGTAAAGATATATAAAAAATTTTATTTTCATTTTTTTTGCGATTACTATAACTTGCCCTACGGGAAGTTAAATATTTCTAACTTTACTTGTTTTTGAGATATCGGTGGTGGACCTTTTTACCCGCGGACCTTTAAGCTACGCTCTACCCTTTGTTACATACTTAAGATTTTAATACATATATTAAAGTATGGTCACTAGATAACACTTAAAATTCTAAGAAGAATTATTGGATTTTTTCTCTGATAGTCTTGATTTGACTTATGAAGTCTTGATGTAGTTTCTGATTGCCACCTAAATAAATAAATAAAAATCTGATATCCTGTATTGCCACACATGAATGTCGTTTAATAATAATAAATCACTCTGGAGTATC